TGAGAGGGGATCTCATCAACACGTACAAATATCTTAAGGGTGGGCGTGACAAGGACGGAGCCAGACTCTTCTCAGTGGTGCCCAGCACCAGGACAAGGGGCAATGGGCACAAACGGAAGCAGAAGAGGTTCCAGTTGAACGGGAGTTGAACTTCTTGACTTTGAGGGTGACCAAGCCCTGGCCCAGGCTGCCCAGGGGGGCTGTGGAGTCTCCTTCTCTGGAGATATTCAAGCCCGCCTGGACGATGTCCTGTGTCCCCTGCTCTGGGTGAGCCTGCTTGAGCAGGGGGGTTGGACTGGGTGATCTCCTGATGTCCCTTCCAACCCCTGCCATGCTGGGATTCTGCTGCACTCACTCCAGTTTGTAACTCTTCCTTGTATTGGAGATCCAAAAACCGAATGAGCTGCAGGTGTTGAATAGAGAACAAATCTCTTCCCTTGACCTGCTGGTTGGTGGGAGTAGCTCTTTGTTGTATTGTTTAATCATGGTGGTCTTCTCTCCCCCCCCCTTTTCTTTTCCCCCCTTCTTTTTCTTGAGTTTCCCAAATCTCTTCAAGGCCTGGGTATTTGTCCTGCGCCTGTAATGTGATGTTCTGACCTCACAGCTGTGTTCCTGCAAGCATTTCTCTTGCCCTTGGTCTTATCGCTTAAACCAGTTTCTAGTCTGTGAGGTAACTGTCTTTTTATACCAAGGCAATTTCTTTAAGATCTTCTGGTGAAGAACCTTATCAAAACCTCTTTGCATTCCAGCAGTGGTGATTTGCTTATGGTGCTCCAAAGTCTTTCTTGTCCCTTTTCATAGCAGTTGTTGATGCTGGAGGGCCCGTGGGTAGGGGTGTTCTGCAGGCCATATTCTCTATCATCATAGGGAAGTGGAGACCAGGAATTGATCTGTGTTCATAGAAAGCTGAACACATTCACTGATACGTAAGCTCTGATGCAACAGTTGCTGTTGTCTTAGCTGATCATTGCCACGATGCCGTACTTCGCATCTCTGCTCAGGTGCATTTCAGAGGAGCTTCTAGGCCAAAGATGAAATTAAATCTTCCCCTCTGGACTCTGTGCAACAAAGGTATGAGCGGTTATGGTTTCCCTCCACAGATGAAACAGGGGCTTTTCTGTTTATACTGAGTTACTGAGGAGCAGATAGTCTAGAGAATAGGTTCTGTCATCCTTATGGTCCTTTGCAAGTTTAGGTATTGGGATGAATGCCCGCAAGTCTTGCCATGTCTCTGCCCGGTCTGTGGGCAATGAACTGTTGAAACAATGCTAGTCTCTACCATTGAGTTGTCTACTTCAGGACTTACTGCAGACTATGCAGGGCTTTAATTTGGTATGACCCTGCCCCACTTTCTTCCTGTATCATGCTTGGCTACTCTGTGGCACGTGGCAGCAGAAACCTTTGGACTGTCCTTTGTCAGGCTGTATCTTGGCAGCCTCTACTCCCTCGTCAGAGGGGGTGCATGCCCAGGCAGATGCTAGCTGCCCCGCAGCACAGGTGAAGCCATCCCAGTTTGTGCTGGAGGAGCTGGTTAGCCTGTGGTGGGGAAGATGATGCCCTTTAGCTCCTTCCATCGTGACAGAGCAAGACGAGGAGGCTTATCTCCAGGGTGGAGCCAGCTGGATCTAAAAGCTTAGGGCTCCTCTCTGCAGGAAGCAGGCATCTCACCTGCATCCCGGGGCTTGCAGCAGTGCAAAATACACTCGGGGCATTTGTTTGTGTTTCCGCATGCACTGTGTCTGAGCTCTATTGCACTGGAGCGTCCACTGTCTTCTCTCAACAAGCAGAGCGTCTTGAGCTCTTCTTTTTGTAGAGAGGCTGCGGGCTTTTGGCATTTCTGCAGAAAATATCAGATTTGCTATGCAATAATGTATGTCCTAGGTATTTTGGAAACCCTCAGAAATCTCTACCCTTCCAAATGAGAAATGGCAAATCCAGCCAAATGTCCTGGACTCTGTCCTCTGTGACTGGAGGGTTTCCAAGATAAACTTGTTTGCCCTAAATGCCATTGGGAGTTTCAAATCTTCTGCTCCTGAACCAGCTGCTGCCAAAGGCTCTTTTGGGTATTTTTCTAAGTTCAGCGATCTTATTATTATTTATCAAACACTAACACTTTCCTGGTGCTTGTGTAGTTATGCAATTTGTACCTGACGAGTGCTCATGGACCTGGGCTGGCCTCTCTTGGTTGTAGCTGGCTGGGACATTGGCATGGCCCTACTTGTCAGTGTTCACCCCAAGAAACTTTGAACTTGAAGAGCCCTAGTCTTGTAGCTGGAAACCACCGAGCTGGGCGAAGGGAAGTTAAGAGTCCAGCAATAGGTGCTCCATACATCATGAGATCATGTATCATTTTCCCCTGAAGGTAACCCTAAGGGTCCGGGGGCCAGCTGAAAGGGAAAGGCTTGCAGTTGAGCGCCCAGGTGTATGGGTGACTGGGTTTGTGGCCCTGGGGAGAATGGCGGCATGGCTTGGCTGGGCGGCACAAAGTACACAGTTCTACGAGGCAGCCGAATGTTGTACCAGTTGCTGGGCATGAAGTGATTGTTGTGGTCCCTGGGGTGCTGGAGGCATGGGGAAGAGCAGAAAAGGTTCCATGTGTAAAACTTTTAGCTACGACAGCGGAAGTTGAAACCCAGGACCTCTGCTGTAGCAGCCTCGAAAGCTTTTCCCCACCTTTGCACAATGCCGTGCTTTGCCCAGTACCAGAAAGAGAGCTGAGGAGGAGCAGTTCTGGTGTGTTGCTGAGGAACTGCTTGGAGGAGGAAGGCTCCAGATCCTATGGAAGCTGGGGCACTTCTGAAAGAGGGTGTGTTTTTTAAAGAAGGGACTGACGTAATTTAAAGCACTCTAAAACTGGGTTTCAAGTGTTTTAAACAGGGAGGGTCGTGCCTCCAAGACGTGAAGTGTACAAGAAAAAGTTGGCCATGTTAGTGAAGATGTGGTGCTATTTATTAAAGAGATCATGGACTAAGATCTCTAAGGATTAAAATTTCTGTGTAAACAAGAAAAAATAACCAGTTATTACCATTTCCATGGTAATTTCCATAACTCAATAAATTGAGATGGAGAGGTCAAGAGTGGGGAACAGTTGCTGCAGGAGACTTAAGCCACATAGCTTGAAGAAAAGTAACTTTGGGGTGAAATTCTGAAATAATATTTTTAGACGTGGTTAATGTTTTATGGAGCAGGTGGTCGAAGAAACCACGGGAAAAACCCTGGTACTGTGAAGGAATAGCAGGATGCTGGCCGTAGCCTGCTTGGATGTATACCTTTACGTGAGTGAGAGCCCAACAGTTCTGTTGACTGTTCATTTCAAAGCGCAGTAACCTAAAAATATGGGAGCTTGTTGAAAACAAACTGAGCAGGGCAGCTGTTTCTGTGGCTCCAGGGGATAATTAAGAGAATTACAGCCCATGCAAATGAAGAGAAATGCAGCGAACCCAATGGGTACGTTTGTAAGTATTGCATTGAGGAAGAGGAGCCTTTGCAAAGGCTGGCAATGCCGTACAGTCCTTGTTGGACAGAGAAGCAGATGAAGATCAGCCTGCCTGGATTATAAGAACCATTTGGCAAGGTCCAGCCTCAGAAATTCTTGAGGAAGGTAAAGGAAACATGGGATAAAGCAAAGGAGCTTATGTGGTTGAATGATGGGTTAGGCAGTAGTTAACAGGTAGGAAGTGAGCAGAGAAATGAATGGTCCACCCGTGTGCGTCACACCATACTACGCCTCCGATGTTCCCTACCTTAATAAATGACCTGGAAAGGAAGTTAATAGGAAGATGATTTTTTTTTTTTTTTTGCTGATGATATGAAGCTAACTAAAGTTGTAAAATCAAGGGCTGATGGCAGGTGATAAAATGAAAGATGCAGTTCAGGCTGGAGAGGTGTAAAAGGATTTTTGTGGAGGGAGGATACACAACAAAAGGTCTCTGGGCTGCCTCTTACAGCTCAAGGACATATTCTGTGTGTCCTGGTTCCATGGAAAAATCAGCTCAGTTCTCATCTGCAGTCAAAAAATAAATGGAATAATAGAGACCAGGAGTAGAAACCAAAACAGAGACTGTCATTATGCTGGTGTCTAATAATCTCTGCGTGTTTGCCCTGTGATGCTTGTGGTTCTGTTTTCTCCCTGCTCCTCAAAGACGATACAGAACTGGAAGTGTGGCAAGAGCATCAAGGGGCGTAGATGAGCTTCTGTAAGAGGAACAACCGAGTAGGCTGGGAGTAGTCAACCTTGGGAATGGATCATTGAGGAGTGGGGTATGAATGAGGACTTTAAGATCCTTGTGAAAGTTAACGGAGAAATGCTGTTCCTCTCTCTTTCAGTTCTAAAAATTCAAGTACCAAGCAAAACTGGCTTGGATGGCAATGGCAGGTGGAGCTGCCAGATGCTGCCTTTTCCCAGAGCTTATGAAGGTTCAGAAAGCAAGTAGGTTAATGAAGGAAAATCTGTTGGGGCCTAAAATACAGAGACACCACCTTGTCTTTAGGAAATTCTGTCAAATATATGAAAGAACGTTCTTGGAAAGTAAAACTGCTTGCTCCGTCGTATGCACCCACTGCCAGCTGTTTCTGGAGACAATACATTCGGCTAGGTGGACATTTGCTCTCATACACTAGATCTGCCCTTTCTCTTTTTACTCTCTTGTTGATCACCCATATAAATACTTTTTCTGTTACACGGAAGGGGAAAAAAAAAACCCAAACCCAGAAATTTAATTGCCGATTGTTTTCCAGTCTTCTTTCCACCAACTAAGAGCTGAAGAACAGCTGTAGCTGCATGTCAGAACATTGTCAGTCACTACAGCAGACTGATGTCTTGTCTTGGATTCAAGAGGAGACTAAAAAAGTACTGGAAAATCTTTAGTGATTTCACTGTTCTTACTTTAAATGATTTGTGGATCGTTTGGGGGGTTTTTACCACTCTATTTTCTGCCCCAGGAGATCTTGTTGGTTGGCCATTCTGTGCTTGACTGAGATTTTGTTTGGGTTTTTTGCAGGTACATGGGGATAGGACTCTCTGCGCAAGGGGTCAACATGAACAGGCTTCCTGGTAAGTCACTGTTAAGGTCTGGTTTGACTTCCAGTCTGTGCTAAGTGTTCATTTGAAAGAAAGGTTTTAATTTATGTATAGGAATTTGTGAACGTGCATTTCTATTAATAAAATGTCATAAGTGTCTTATGTTGGGAAGTTTCAAACTATTGAGTGCTCTCCTAAACCAAGGTGCTAGTGTTGTTAACGTAGCCATGATGATTTTAGCAAATAATAGAAGTTAATGTTAAACTAACGAGCAGTGGGTAAGAGGATGAGCTTTCAGCTGTGCAAGCTCTACTTTGCATCTGGAAAATAAGTAGCAGAATAATTTGAGGGTCAAATATATGAAAGAACGTTCTTGGAAAGTAAAACTGCTTGCTCCGTCGTATGCACCCACTGCCAGCTGTTTCTGGAGACAATACATTCGGCTAGGTGGACATTTGCTCTCATACACTAGATCTGCCCTTTCTCTTTTTACTCTCTTGTTGATCACCCATATAAATACTTTTTCTGTTACACGGAAGGGGAAAAAAAAAAACCCAAACCCAGAAATTTAATTGCCGATTGTTTTCCAGTCTTCTTTCCACCAACTAAGAGCTGAAGAACAGCTGTAGCTGCATGTCAGAACATTGTCAGTCACTACAGCAGACTGATGTCTTGTCTTGGATTCAAGAGGAGACTAAAAAAGTACTGGAAAATCTTTAGTGATTTCACTGTTCTTACTTTAAATGATTTGTGGATCGTTTGGGGGGTTTTTACCACTCTATTTTCTGCCCCAGGAGATCTTGTTGGTTGGCCATTCTGTGCTTGACTGAGATTTTGTTTGGGTTTTTTGCAGGTACATGGGGATAGGACTCTCTGCGCAAGGGGTCAACATGAACAGGCTTCCTGGTAAGTCACTGTTAAGGTCTGGTTTGACTTCCAGTCTGTGCTAAGTGTTCATTTGAAAGAAAGGTTTTAATTTATGTATAGGAATTTGTGAACGTGCATTTCTATTAATAAAATGTCATAAGTGTCTTATGTTGGGAAGTTTCAAACTATTGAGTGCTCTCCTAAACCAAGGTGCTAGTGTTGTTAACGTAGCCATGATGATTTTAGCAAATAATAGAAGTTAATGTTAAACTAACGAGCAGTGGGTAAGAGGATGAGCTTTCAGCTGTGCAAGCTCTACTTTGCATCTGGAAAATAAGTAGCAGAATAATTTGAGGGTTAATCTGTATATCCCACTTGACAAATTTACCTGAAAGAATCTGAAAACGACAGGAAAATTGGCCTGTCGTATTGTCTGTCCTCCCCTCTTCCCTCCAAAAAACTAGAAAACAAGAGTGGTATTTCCAGTTAAGTGTTGCTTCCTTTGTTTGAAATGTTTGGGGTTTAGGTTTGGTTTTGGTTGGTGGCTTCTTTTTAAAAGGAAAGAACTGGTAATTTTTCTTTAACAATATCCAATTTAGTGGGTAAAATTCTAATTTCTAGGTTTGGATCCAACGTTGTGACTCCTGTAGAGAGAATTCTTTCGGCTGGATTTGAAGCTAGAAGTTGTCTGTGTTTGGTAGAGAGTAAATGTTCTTCAGGTGCCACAGTGGATGGTAGCTGGCTCCCCGTGGTGGGGGCTTTCTTTGATCTTGGGTGGAATTCACTTCTGGTGGAGTTGTTTTAAAGCTGAAACGTGTGTTCAACCTGTATTATGCAGCTTGATCTTTCCAAAGGAGAACGTTTTGTGCATGTCCTAACAAAAGGAAGAGCTTCCATAGGGTTTGCGCTAAGACCCTTGTGAATTCACTTCTCAATGGGGATTTTGCTTTCACCTTCACCGGTAACTTGCCTGTTCAGAGCATGGAACATACTCAGTTTTTCTACTCATAACCTCCAATTGAAAATGTTGCAGCATTGGAGCAAAATCCCTGACTTCTGTTAGGCAAAGATGTGATTCTGTAGCTCTGTTACAAATTTCTGAAATGTCTATTGCTATAGTTGTGTTTCTGAAATTCTGCTAAGGCTATAAGGAGATGGAGACAGGCAGGGCCCTCGGATGATTTCAGAAACAAGCCAGCTTTCTGGTGCCCATTCTTTTAGTTGTAAATCTGCTGTTGCAACAGAACAGCTGCCTTGTCTTGTTACTGAGGAGGAGCATGGAGGTCTTGGAATGCCTGAGGGAGCGTTTGGGACCTTTTGCATTGATGATTTGGAATTGTAGGCTAGTTGCATTAGTTCGGTTAAAATTTCACCAGTGAAACAACAAGCACTGTGGTTCTAGTGAGAAATGTCAGTGCAGCTTGTGGGCCACTCATAATCCCAGCTAAGGTTAACAGTTGCAGGCAGACTTCCCTCTTCCAGGTACCCTTTGGTCATGTTTGATCGCCCTTGAGAGTTGTCTCTTGGCTACCGTCAGAGGCAAGTCCTAAGACCTGTTGGTCTGACTTGGGCACAACCTTCCTGGCATCTGGTTTTCTCTGGTAATTTCAGGCCTGCCCAGAGAGCTTGTGGAGCCTCTAACTCTGGAGATATTGAGGACTCAGCTGGACATGGCCTTGAGCAACCTGATCTAATTAGACCTCCTTTGAGCGGGGGTTGGACTAGGTGACTTCTGGAGGTCCCTTCCCTCCTTGGTTATTCTACACAGCTCTGGCTTTGGGAGAATGGTTTCAGTACCACCATGTTTTAAAGAATTTGCATCTTGCTGCAGACTAGATTTCTTAATAATTGTTATGGCAACTACAGCATATGCACATTGGAGGGAGAACTAAGGTCATGGGTCTTTATCCGCTCAAAACTAGACAGGGGAAGGATGCTGCCAGTTTTCTCAAGTGATACTTGGTTGCAAAAAGTGAGGACATGTCTAGATGAAGATGATCTGGTACCAACAGGTATAGAAGCCTCAGTTTTCAGTCGTCCTCTCTCTGCACTCCCTCCTAACCCAAGTGGTGGTGTGTGCTTGTGCAAGATGAAGTGTGAGTCTTGTCCCATCGTCGTCCCGTCAACAGCTTCCCAGGGCTGAAGGACTTCGTTGCTTGGGAGAGGAGTCGTTTGGAAAGATGTGTGGGATTGTCTTGTACACTGCTGGGTGGATTACGCTTAACCTAGGATTCACCTGGGGTTATAGCACAGTTTTATATATGTATATTTATATATATATAACCCCCATGGTTGAATCCTAACCTGGGATGACATGTACTGAACGTCATAGATGTGCTGTCCTGAAATTGAACAGCCAACATAATTTCTTTTTTTGTTTTTGGTTTGTTTTTTTTTTTTCCTTTAGAGACTAAAAATGATCTGAACCACTCCTGATAAATGGCTTTAGAGCCCAAGAGCTCCATGGGTTTTGTGGCTGGTTCGAATCCAAGTCCCTGTATACTGCCGGTATTTCTAGAGTGTTTGTGGCAAATGTGGAACTCTTTCCTCTGAGGGAAACAAAGCATAAAGTGAACTTGAGACTTCAGATAGCACTCATTTAGCAACGAATTGCACAAATTTGATCCTATGAACCTGTTTGTTTGACCACCTGCAGATTATGCTGCCAAGGGTGATTCTGTAGGCATAGTAAGGTCGATCTGCTGTCACCCCTGTAAAATGAGCTGCATGGCTCTGTATTACAGCTCAATAAGCACCCTGCTGCCTTTTGGAGAATGAGTCTGATTTATTTTTTTATAGTATATGGCTCAGGTAGCTGAAGTGGATCAGGCTTAACCATTACTGGGTCCTTCACAGCACAGAGTAAGTGAGAGCTCACAAAGAAGTGACAGACTTGGGACTCTTGACTTGGCTTCATGCCAAAGTGTAATTTTAACTTTTTGTGACCTGAAATCCTGCCAGGTTTGTCTCTTCAGACCGTTTCCAAGTCGCTTCTGCTTTAACAGATCAGTTTTTGCTGGGTACGGTGGCGAGGCCTTGTGGGACCCGCTGAAAGTAGTGGGTTGGGAGCCCGAAGCCTGGCATAGGAGCCAACATTGGTCCCTTTCTTCCCACTGTCAGCGGGGATCCTTGGCATCCTGTCAGCCCAAATTCAAGGAACAGCCTTGTTGCTGAGTTCTGTCTCAAACTCCTTCCCCCTGCCCCCCGACACCAAACACTTTGGCCATATCCAGTTCCAAGTCAGGGCATTTGTGCTTGGTGCCAAATTTATTTTGGCTCCAGTCCAGCTCTGTGCTGGTGGGGGTGGTACTGAGCTTTCTCTGTGGGCTGGACGTGTGGTTGGAGCAACCTGGGCAATTCCTCACACCACCCCTCTGGGTGGCTTTGAAGAGCCCTGTCCCTGTTCAACGCAAGGTTTCTATGGGCCACACTTCGGAATTCGATCGGCAGGTCCGAAAATACAGTGGGATTTTTATCAAAGCGCCAACTTCTGTGACCCTAATGTGTCTTGATGATTTTTTTAATTACTATTTTTTAATTTTTCAAAAGACCTGTAGGACATTTACTAATAACTGTTCTGCTTTAAACTAGCGGCTTTTATTGAAATGTCTGCTCGCTGCTTCCCCCAGATACAACTGGTTTTTTTTTTTTCATGTGTGCTCAGCATTTTGGCATCTGAGGATGAAATTACACATTACAGCTGAACTCATCTCACTCACTGTCACCAAAGGAGAGAAACCTGATGCCCCAACCCGTCGGGGTTGTGGCAGGTGGCTTCCTTCAGAACTCATGGGCCAATGCTCTTACCCTTGCATCCTGAACATAACATCTGAAATGCTCTTGTTCCTTGCTCTTGTTCCTTGCTCTTGTTCCTTGCTCTTGTTCCTTGCTCAATCCAGTAGGTTTTTCTGACCCCAGCTGAAAATGCTTTGGTGATTTGCTACAGGTTTCACTGAACCTCCATAAAAAGGAGAGGATGGGTGTTCCTGCCTTGAGTACAGACGAGATGTGCCTGCCAGAGATCATTCTCCCCTGCATTGGTTTGCGTCCTTCACGCTGTTGTGAGAGAACGTCTCATTTCTTCTGGCAATTTGAGGGTAACCCAGCAGGAGCCCACAGCCAGGCAGAGGAAAGGAGGGATGGTTCCCTACGGTAGCAGCAAGCTCTTAATTTAGCTTAAAATGTTGTGAAACCATACCCTGAAGCGTACCCTGCTTTGGTTTCTGGAACAGCCCAGATAGGATCTGACCGATCACTTCCAGATACCTTAAACACCCTCTGGTTAGTATACGACCTGCCCTGTTCTGCAGCTTTGCACGTGTTGAAGGCAGCGCCGGCTTTCACTCACGGTTGTTTTGTTTTGTGAAACTTGGATTATTTTTTCACCTTTTCAAATGAAAAGGTAGAACTTGGCTTATTCACTGTCTGCCTGCTTCAAGCTCCCTATCGAAAGAAGAAGCTTTTAAATTCAAGAATGTTTTATAGACTTGAATAGAGTGCAGCTGGATAAACTGGCAGAATTTGGTGTATGGAAACCTGCCTTGCATTGGGGTTTGGCTTTGGGGACTGTAATGCCTTAAGCCAGGTCAGCAAAAACAGCAACGGTTTGTCCAGCTGTCCTGTGTCTCTTCAGCAAAGGGTCCTTGCGAGTGACCCGTTTCTGTAGACCTGTAGGTAAAAGAAAAACGAGCACTGGGAATTAAGAGATCCCCATGCTCCCCTCCTCTGTGAAAGCCATCCATCCGCCTCTGTCAGCCACCAATATCATCAAGGCTTTCACTTAGGAGATCCTTGCCTTTACATTCTCCTCCTGCTGATAGGTTTCTGTTGACTTTTGTAGATAGGACTGTATTTGTTCTCAGCTTCTCGTGTGCTGTCAGAGGAGATGCAAGCAGGGGAGCAAGCGATTGAGGAATGTGTCTTCCTCTTCCTTCCTTTGAGAGGAAAAAAGGTGCTGGTTTCTCCCTTAGGGATGTTCACCAGGGTTTTTCAGGAGGGTGTGCTCCCTTCTGAGGGCAACCAGAGGAGGGAAGCTGGAT